ATTGGCAACTGTAAAACAGGAGAGGGAACAAGCCATTTTTAGGGGGGGTCAAAAGGGTCAGATGGAATTACTGGCCGGCCACCAACTTTTGGTGTCCTCCCATGTGTTTACAACACAAATATGTGATTAAAAGTTCAAGAAAAAGGCCCAAGGTTGTTCAACATTGGCTCGGAGGTGAGAAAAACGGGCGTCAGAGGGCGCCGGAGGAATATAACTAGTTGCTGAAACAATTGCTGGCCTCCCATCCTTCTACGGCCTTCCTGGTGATGAAACAGAGGTACCTGCCGAAAATGAACGAAAATCGATGCAAAACGAATGCTCGGGGGCCAAAACGCGCAGTTCGGGGCCCCGAAAACTGCCTGTTAAGCACCGAAAGTGACATTCAACCACGAAGTGGATCTCTTAGACCTCAGTGTCCCTCAAAAGGGAGTAAATAAGAAGTATGCCAAAAATCGGGGCAAATGGAGATGGTTAGGCAGTCCCGAACCGAGGCACACGGCCAACGGTCTCGAAAAATCGGAAACCGGGCTCCGAAATGGGAAAAATGGCCTACAGCCACAAAATGTAGCCCACGGCCACCGAGAGATGGTCTACGGGACCTCTCCCTCCCCTCAGGAAAAGAAACAGAGAAAACCGAGTCTGGTTCGCAAACCGAGGCAAGGCACAGAAGAGGAAATCCGGAGGCAGGGCTCACGGCCGCAACTCTGAGACTTCTGAACGAGCACGATATGCAACATCACCGAGCGCTCAATCGGTGATGTCTGAGTCTTAAGGTCGGTCAAAAATGGGGTTTCTACACACCTCTAGGTTGATATTGGGCCTCTCCCCTTCAGACCCATTAATACTTTTCATAAAGCTCGGAGTACAAATATCTTCATCTAGTGCCACGGTTTTTCCTACTTCAAACTGTAATGATGACTCTTTCAATAAGCATTCCCTCAGCCTACTGTTGGTTTCCTCGATCAATTGGTTTTTCACAACTACTACCTCCTACATCTACTATAGTTTCTGTCACCCATCTTTTATGATCATCTTCATTAGCTTTGTTACTCTGTGATGGGACCCTTTTACCGTTGGCCACCTCCTTCTCCATACATGCTCCCACTAAAGCCCCTTTAGCCCTACATCTACCTCTTCCTTCTACCACAGAGCCATAGATATCTCTACTCTTCTGATCTCTCTCATTTACAGATGCTCCTTCAACCATCTGTCTAGAATCATATTGATACAAGCTCCTCTCCATTACCACAGAAAAGTCAAAGTTTTCACATGCTTTCATTGGGTAGTCGCTTTTTTTATTTTTCATTGGCACAACACCCTTGATGAAATCCATACAACTGGTTATAATTCTAACCTTACCACATTGAAAGGAGATTCCTCTGGTACTGTTCTCATCAAATTGTACCACTTCTCTCCATAAGGCACCTAAGCTTCTGAATGTTTCAACATTCCACAAATTAAAAAGAATGCCAAAGCAACTAAGCAAAACACACCTCTCTTGATCAATAACTGTTCCAACTTGCCATTCGTGTAGTGAATCACACCAATCAAATATCCAATCCTTTAATCTTACTTCATGGCTCTTCGTCTCTTGGAATGAATTAAAGGTTAACATAGATAATCTTCCACTTCCCATTCTGATAACTATGTCTTTAAGCCCTCTTCTCCTACATTTTTTCTCAAAATTTGAGAATGCAAAAAAGGACTTAAGTTTAATGATTAAGCTCTCATAAAGCCAAGCATTCCCAATTTCCTTAGCTTGGATGGACAATAGACTGTTTTGGACAGAAATCCCCCTTTTCACCACCTCTGCATAGGCAGTGAGCCTTATTGTTTGAAGTCTCTGATGGTAGCCCTGCACGGATCTAATGTTGACATTCGGATGACCCATATGACGACGAAGAAAGGGATTTTCTTTGGTTGCCTGCAGTTCCTACCCTTTTTGATACTCTATTTCCTTTACTTTGAGTTCCTTATTGTCCCACCGTAGACCATTTGCCTTTTGCACAGCCACTTCCGCAGCCACTAGACAATCAAATCTGACAAACCCAAATCTTGAACCGGTGACCTTCCTTATAATTCCGAATTTTGGCCTCGTTTGGGAACCCTCCCTTTTAGCCAAAAAGTCAAAAAGTTACTAAATTAGTCAAAAAGCCAACAACCCATACCAAAAAGTCAAAGATTCTCTTTTCTCTCTACTTTTTACACATCTTTTCGTAAAAAGTTAAAAACTCATCCCAAACATACTAGTTTTTTTTAGCTCATATTTTAGCCAAATAGTCAAAAAGTTACTAAATTAGCTTGTTCCCAAACGAGGCCTTAGTAAAGAGCCCAAACCATTCCTTCGGATTCATGGACTTTGGGATCTCATCTACAAAAATCGTGAACAAGCGTTGATGATGGGAAACAAAAACTGGTTTTCGTACTCCTTGCTTTCGAATTAATGGGCTCCATTCTCCTAGATCTTGCAGACTTTTTTCTCTCTCTCTCTCAGATTACTAATTTTCTCTCTCCACCCCTCTTTCTTCATTTTTTGGTTTTCCTATCCACATTTAGTTACAAAAGATATCAATTATAAAACAATCTATCTATTAAAGTAAAACATCTTTAGTTATTGTGTGTCTTAGGAATGCTTGGCAACAGCTTGGGGACAGGTGGCTACGGAGCAATATATAACCCTTTTGTCAAGGAGCATTCCTGGGTGGATGGGGGATGACATAAAAGTAGTATTTTCCTTTAGCGTCTATTGTTTCTCTACTTTTGAATAATTTTTACATTGAAAATTGGTAATTGTATTTCTTGAATAACTCTTGCCACAGGATGGAAAACAGATTTTCTGAAATGGAAGATCATATTTTTGATCGGCAAAACAAAAGGTTTATTGATGACAAAAGGCACAATACATGTGAAAATTACATCAACAAAGCTGGGGAAATGCAAAAGCATCATAACTAACCTCTACGATCCCAACTAGGTTGGCACCGCAAAGGAAGCACAATCATATGCAAGCATTAGCCCAAGATTGGTAAGAAGCCAATCAAGAGAAAAAACAGCATAAGGTAGATTAATAGCAGTAGAGTGATAGCAGTAACAGAGTAATAGCAGCAGAGTAATTGTTGTTTTTCTTGTAGTTCCTCCTTGGGACCATGTAAGGTACTACCTCTTTGTTTCATTAACCATGATGAGACACTAAAGGATGCCATTGCAACCAGGATAGTTCTTGAACTTGAAGAAAAATAGAACCTATATGGCAGCCCAAGCATATTTGTATATCTGTATGGCAGTCCAAGCATATCTGTATGGCAGCCCAATCAACAAAATAGAACCTGAACCAACAACCCTACAAGAACCAGCAGCCTATCAGTTGACAGCAGAGCAAACCTAATGTACAAGAGCCTAACAAAATAGAACCCAATATACAGCAACCAGGATAGTTCTTGAATATGAAGAAAATTAAAGTTGAGGGCCTTGTATTACAAATCAAAGCAAATCAGCATAACATTCCACTGCTGAGCAGTCCAAGCATATATGTATGGCAGCCCAATCAACAAAATATAACCTGAACCAACAACCAACAAGGCCATCAGCCTAGCAGTTGACAGCAGAGCAAACCTATGTACAGGAGCCTACCAATCACAAGCTTACCAGTCATACTTCTAATCCAAGGGCCACTCTAACTATACTGAGCTCACAGAGATCACTAAATAAACTGAGCCACTCTAAACTATACTGAGCTCCCAAAGATCTTCACGGGTAGGTTGCAGCCCAATTAACAAATACTCATTCCAAAACATTGAGCAAGGACACCCTCATAGTATCTGCACACACAATTTTTATGTAAACCCTCGGGATTTGTTCATGATGATTGTGAAGTGAATGTAAAGTGACTACAACCTTTACCAAAAAGAAGCCACATAGAACACACCTCTACACCAAAAGCACTAGTAAGGCAGTCCAACATATCAGTCCACCACTGAGCCTCACAGTCCAACAAGATAGAATCTGAACCTGAACCTACAGGACCAGCAACAAGCCCAAGCTGAAAGATAGATGCACACTCCAGCAGAACCCACCATAGGCTAGGCTCAAGCATCAACAAAACAAGCTGTTGCCAAAGCAGTACAGCAAACCAGGGCCAAGACTCAACATTTTTTTTTAAAAAAAACAATTTATTTTTTTTTTTTTTTTTTTTTTGATAGGTAATAAATTGAACCGACTATGATTATAAAATCAATTTATTTATTTATTTATTTGTTTGATTTATAATATATACTAATGATCTTACAAAATAAACCGTTCGAATTATTAAAAAAATAAAACCCATGATGAGCCCATAGATCGGAACAATACCATCTAATCTAGTTCTTGGACAGAAGGAAAGGAGGACACTAAAATTTTACTACTTCACTAATAATACAGTTGACATGAGATGATAACCAAACAAAATGATATTTTTGTTGTATTCCAGTTCTGCACCTCCCGACCATAAACACTGTTAGTGTATATAGTGTATATATATTGTATTTATTATATATATTAGATGTTGTAATTAGATTTTATTATATTAAGATATTTTCATTGTCCACTCTTACCTTGCTTATATATAAGTTTCTTCATTGTATTGTAATATAAATATAATATTAAATATACACCTAATATAATTTTATTTTTATTTTTTTTCTATCTCTCTTAAACATTGTGACAAACACAAATAGCCATTGGGAAGCCAATATACGCATGCAACACACAAATCTATTTTATCCGTCCCTTCCTATTCTCAATACACAATAAATAACACAATAAATAACGAGAGAGAGAGAGAGAGACGTCTCTTCCAATTTTGCATGGATTGTCACGGCTCCAATTATGTCTCTCTGCCACTTGAAGCCTTGAAGATAGACCGTCATGTCATGATGACACACGAATCACACATGCTATATATATATATATATATGTATGTGTGTGTAAGTCTCATAAGACAATCAACAACCAAACTCAGTTTATTAAATTTATTGTCTCTAAGACAACCTCTATCTAGACCAACAACCACAATGGCAACCTCCAACAAGGTGAGCTTGAAGCTGCTCATTGACACTAAAGCCAACAAAGTTCTCTTCGCAGAAGCTGGTAAAGACTTCGTTGATTTCCTCTTCAACCTCCTCTCTTTGCCTGTGGGAACCGTCATTAGGATCCTCACAAAGCACTCAATGGTGGGCAGCCTAGGCAACCTCTACGACAGCATTGAAAACCTGAACAACACTTACTTGCAACCTAACCAAAACAAGGACTCTCTCTTGAAACCCAAGGCATCATCATCAATCTGTGCTGCTCAAGTTCCTCTCTTGCTGGCCGACGACATATCGCCAGACAGAAAGTTGTATATGTGTAAAACCTTTCACCTAAATGTTGCAGATGATCCCAAAGCTGTGTGTCCTAATTGCAAGCATTATATGTCCACAGAGGTGCCTTATATCGCTCGAGAGGCGGTGAAGGAAGTTTTGAATGGTGATGAGGGAGGTTTTGTGAAAGGAGTGGTGACTTACATGGTTATGGATGATTTGGCAGTGAAGCCTATGTCTGCTATATCCAGCATTGCTTTGCTCAGCAAGTTCAATGTCAAGGAAGTGGGTGCCCTCGAGGAAAGGGTTGTTCATTTGGGGATGGATGAGGTATACATGCAAATCATTTATTTATTTGTCTCGGGATTTATTTATTTTATTTATTTATTTATTTATTTATTTATTTATTTGTGTCAATGCCAATAATTTCAGATACCATGTAAATTAAGTAGAACTTTACTATGTATTGTAGGCCGAATATTTATAGTTAAGGGTTGTTTGGAGTGTCCTAAATAAGTGTATTTTTGTCTTTTTGGATTAAAAAATTGAAGAAGAAAATATGGATATTTGGATTAACTTTTTGACTTTTTATGAAAAAATGTATAATAAAAAATTGTAAAAATTGATTTGTAGAGAAAAATTAGGATTGAGAGTTGTGCAGCTGTAATTGTTGACTTTTGATAAATAGTGTTAACTTTTTAACTTTTTGAATAACTTTTTGACTTTTTTACAATATGTCAAACTTGGCCTTAGTGTGTTGCAAAGTCTAGTCTTATCCAAATATTCTAATTTTAGGTAAAATTTTGAGTAATTTTTTTTTTTTCATGTGTGTAGCTCAATTGTTTATCCATAGGCCTGAGCCCATTTTCTCTGTGTTTATTTAGTGGTAAAAAATTCTAATAATAAACTTGTTTATTTATAACGTTTTTCATTTTTGGTTCAGCTTAAGGCCTTGTTTGGCATGATCTAAAAAAGTTAAAAAGTCAAAAAGCTACTATCTTATTTAAGTCACATTATCTTATTTAAGTCACATCACCTCTCTAACATATTATTTCAAACCTAACTCATACACAATCCATATTTTATAAAAAATCAAAAAATACATTTATTTAGATCATCTCAAACCACCCCTTCTGCATGCCTATATTGACCGGTATAGTACTACGTACATAACACTAATAAATGTTGTTGGTTTCTGTTATTATTCATGTTTTAGTTTCTTTTGACTCTGTTTTTTGTTCATCATGTTTATTTTATGTTTTTTGTTGACTGACAAAAAAAATGCTAACAGTATATCTAATTTTTTTTTTTTTAGGGGCTGAAGCTGTTGAAGGCTTCTTTGCAGTCAAAGACAGTTTTGACGAGTGTTTTCCTTTGAAACTTGAGGGCATAATAAGAATTGGCTTATGTTTCCACTACACCTGATCTGAGTGAAGATGTTATTAATGTGGCTTTTTTGAAAGATTTCTTGGTCAGATTTTGAATCTTATGTGGATTTTTGTGAGCTTGTCAAGGGTCTCTACTTGAATTGGAAGTTGCAAGTAGCTGTTTTTCTTTATCGTTTTATTCTTTTTATTTTTAATTCAGTCATTGCCATCTATTGTCATTTCAGTCTTTCATCATCTCTATATTTAGCCTTGGTTTGGATTTCATCTTTCGCTATATAATTATAAAAAGACAAAAAAAAATTATAAAAAGACAATAGTTATAAAAGTACCAAACTACCCAATATATAAACAAAAATTCAAAAAAATATCATTCTATATTAAGGGCAATTTTGTCATTCCAAAGTTAAAAAGCTAAAAAAGCTAAACAAAAATACCAAACAATTAAAAAAGTCAGGTTAAAATCAAAAAAGCCAAAAAATTAACTAAAAAAGTCAATTGTCAAATGACCATTTAGTAGTTGTTTGGCATGTATTATTTAGCACATCATCTTATTTAAGTCACAATCATCTTATTTAGATTACATCACTTCTTATTTGAGTCAAATCACCTCTTTATAACATCACTTCAAACCTAATCTATATTTCATATTTTTTTCATAAAACTTCATAAGTATACTAATTTTACACTTCCCAAACAACCCCTAAAAACTTTTGTACTGTTTGACACTGCCTTGGTTGACAAATCAAATGTACTATTTGATAGATTTGAAAAATATAAATCAAGTTCTATACCAAAAGTTGTGCTATTTTAAAATTTTACAATAATTATAAAATGGAAGTTATATCATAATAAAATTTTCATTACAATATATAAGAATTTTAGAAATTAAATATTTTGTTCTCTAAAAGTGAATTTTGTTACAAAAGACATTTAAGGATTAATTTCTATCATCATGAGGATAGTCGGTAAAAGGTCATTTTGAAAAGTCAAAAACAAGACTTTTAGCGACAAAATTTTGAAAATGTCACTAATAAATTGATTTTTAAGGACAAAATAATTTAGTTTTTAAATGGTTTATTTTTTTAGACAAAATATTTGGTCCCAAAAGGATAATAATTTATCACTAATGTCTAATTTTTGTTGCTAAAAATATAATGACGACATTTTTCTTAACAAAAATATTTGGTACTTAAAAAATAATTTTGTTCCTAATTTTTGATTTCTAAAACTTTAATTTTTTGTAGTGGTTATTATCTTTTTTATAAATATCTTTATATTAGTTATAGCTCTTGTTAATAGTTATTGATTAGAAGATTTGAAAAATATTAATTTTATAAAAATAGACATCTATATAAAAAGTTATTGAATTTTAAATATATAAAAGCAACATTTAGTAATAGTGGCATTTTAGTAAATAATGTGTTGTCTGTGGGCTCCAAAGGTTTACATTGGGGAGCTTCTATTTGCACATCTCCATTCCCCTCTTTACACACACTTAATAAAAATTATTTTTATTATAATTTTATTTTCAAGTGAAATTACTATTATAGACATTAAATAAACACATTCGAAAGTTGAATGTCGAAAAAATGAAAAAAAATTGAAACTCTACTACCGAACAAGGTGTTTATTTTCGAAATGCTACTTCTGAACCAATTGTTTATTTTCAAAACTCTACTTCCGAACTAATTATTTATTGAAAAAAATGTATAAAGAGGGAAATGAGTGTGTGCAAATAAAAGCTCCCCTTACATTGTCACACATTGTCCCTTTTTTTTTTCTTTTTTCTTTTTTTAATAAAAAGAACCAATTAAACTTCATTCATAAGATAAAACTTTTTTTTTTTTTTTTTTTGATCAGTCAAAAATGAAATCTTTATTGATGAAACATACAGGGGCAAATTACATCAATAAGGAGACTTGGTGCTAAAAAAAGCACCAAGCGCCAGCTGGTGAGGAACACAACAAGAGAGAGCAGAAGGAAGAGCAAGCTAAAGGATAGACTAAATAAAATGGAACTAAGAACCAACTTGATATACCACAGCTGGTAAGAGCCAAACCAGTGACCAAACCAACACTAGCAGAGTATGAGCCAAACCAGTGCACCAACCAACAATAGTGTCCAACCCAGACCAGCAGACCCCATAGCCAAAGCAGATGTACCCACTACCTTGCACCAAAGCATAATACCAAAATTACTAACAAACACAGAGCTTCAGCCTCAAGGATCAGAACACATTAAAATGAGTGTTGTTAATAACACAATGCATACCCAAACAGATTCAAGACAGATTTATATTAGCTCAACATCCTACACCTGAACCTTCCATTTGAAGACAAAACAGATTTAAACACAGCAACATAATGCAACCCAAGGATCAGCACACAGATGCAACCCAACATAATAACACAGATGCATACCAGCGGCAGAATCAGACCAGGCTCAGATACAGACCAATGGCAATCAGACCAGAATCAGACCAGCAACAAAACAGAATTCAACATATGTTGCAGCCCCAACAAATAACACAGATTCAACAAATGGCAACCCAACATAAAACACAGATGCATACCAGCAGCAGACTCAGACCAGGGCTCAGATACAGACCAGTGGCGTAATCAGACCAGAATCAGACCAGCAAACAAAAAGCCCGAAAACAGCCAATACTACACACAGAGACAGATTTGCTTCAGGTTATAAATGACGTCGTGCACCGAATAATTAAAACCCTTTAAAGATGTGGCTACCCACAAAGCTACTCTAGCCTTTATTAGCTCTTCCAGAGCATTCCACTCCGGCTGTACCTTGTTAAATAAACAGTCATTTCTACTTCTCCACACTGACCACAAAACTGCTACCGGAATTATTTTCCAGACAGCTAGCATCTTCTTCTTCATTTTTATACCTGCCCACGACAAAAGAAGTCCCTCTACTGTTCCAGGACTAACCCATTTGTAATTCCACCAGTTCACTAAATTGGCCCACAATTTCCAGATAAAAGGGCAGTGGAGAAAAACATGGTTAACGGTCTCCAACTCAGCTCTGCAGAACACACAGAGCGCAGAGGTACTTGGACTCAACACTCCAATACGTTGCAAAAATTCAGAGCATTTTATCCTTCCTTTCCACGCTAACCAACTCAAGAATTGGACTTTGGGAGGGGCTAGATTGTTCCAAATGCACCTAGTGACTGTCAAATCTACCCCTTGCCTTGCTTCCACCCACATCCAAAGTGATGCAACAGTGAACTCTTCTGACGGGTGAGCTAACCATGAACAAGAGTCTACCACCCCTTCTTGGAGGCTAGGCGCATTCCGCAGAAAATCATTAAGTTTTTGCACTTCCTCCTCTTCCCATGCTAGGAGGGGACGTCTGAAGACCAGATTCCAATCTGAAGCTGACACCTTTCTGTTGAAGAATTCAGCCAACTTCCCATCTTTTTCAACTGATAATGTGAATAATCTGGGAAAAAGCACACTCAGATTTTGGTTGAGGCGCCACTTATCATTCCAGAATTGCAGTCTTCTACCATTTCCGACAACTAGCCTGAAATTTTGCAAGAAGAAATCACGCAAGGCAGTGTTGGCTCCAGCCACTGATATTATATCCTTCCATGTGTGCGACATCCATACTGAACTTATAGATAGGGGGCACCATCCGCCTCCTAAACCTCCATACTTATTACATATCACTTTTTTCCACAGAGCTGTCTCCTCCTTGCCATACCTCCACCACCATTTTACTAGTAAGCACTCATTAACCTGGCTTAGGTTTCTCACCCCCAACCCACCTTTATTTTTACTTAGGCATATCTCCTTCCAGTTAATTAAGTGCACTTTCTTACGAATTTCAGTCCCTCCCCAAAGGAAGTTAGCTTGAATTTTGTGAAGTACTTTTGCAATACCCACTGGCAACTTGAATAGGGAGAGGAAGTAAACTGGCAAGCTTGACAGAACGGATTTGATCAATGTTAGTCTTCCGGCAAAAGAGAGATACCTTCTCTTCCACGAAGCTAGTTTACTCTTAAACTTGTCTATCACAGGTTTCCAAGCAGCCTTTCTCCTCGGATTTGCTCCTAGTGGTAGCCCCAGATAACTCATTGGCAACTTTTGACGTAGGCAGTTTAGTTTTTGTGCCAGGACCTGAACAATATCATCCTGCACACCTACCCCACACACCTTACTTTTGTGGAAATTTATTTTGAGTCCAGACATCAACTCGAAGCACCTTAAAATTCTTTTTACGGCAATGACTTCCTCCCACTCCGCTTCACAAAAAATAATGGTATCATCGGCAAACTGCAAGTGTGTAATTTTCAACTCAGTTGGACCTGCAGATACTCCTCTAATCAAGCCCACTTCCTTAGCTCTTTCCAAGAGAATGTTCAGACCCTCCGCTACAATATTAAAGAGGAAAGGAGAGAGTGGGTCACCTTGCCTAAGACCTTTCATGGGCGAAAACTCCGAAGTAGGTGAACCATTGACTAGCACTGAGATACGAGCTGTGGATAGGCAAGTCTTCATCCACCCCACCCATTTCTCTCCAAAACCGAAATTTGTCATCATCGAATACAAGAACTCCCAATTTACAGAGTCATATGCCTTTTCAAAATCCAGCTTTATTAATAGGCCTTTCTTTTTTGACCTTTTCCACCAATCCACCACTTCATTGGCAATTAGGACCCCATCTATAATATGCCTTCCGCTCAAAAAAGCAGTTTGAACTTCACTAATAATCTTGGGTAACACTTTCCTCAACCTTCTTGACAAGACTTTAGCTACAATTTTGTATACAGAGCTGATCAAGCTGATTGGCCTATAGTCGCCCAACCCCACAGGGTTTTCCTTCTTAGGAATTAAGGTAATGAATGAACTATTTATTCCTTGAGCTAGCTTTCCATTAGAGTGGAATTCATTCATCAATTGCACAAACTCACCTTTCATGACGGCCCAACATTGCTGGATACACTTTAGATTGAAGCCATCCGGCCCCGGCGCTTTATTCCCATCACAATCTTTGATTGCTTCCCAGATTTCTTCCTCAAAAAATTCTGCCTCTAACAGCTCGGCTGACTCAGTTGGACTGATTGAGTCAAAGCCACCTGCTAATCTTGGTCTATACTTCCAATCTTCAGTGAAAAGGTGCTTGAAATGACTTGCCACTGCCTGTTTTATCATCCCGGGCTCATTCTGAATCACACCATTCACAGTAACTGAGTTTACCAAGTTTTTCCTCTGCCTTTTGGTT